ATGTCTGTCTGGCCTAATAACACGTTGTGCCCTCACAAACATATTTCTTATGGGCATCTTGGCAATTCTTGAACAAAAACGCGTTCAACGAATAAAATTAATATTAATTTTGACGATTTCCCGGCTGATTTATGGCATTTATTTTGCGCATTGTAAGCGGCTCAAATGATTCCGCATTAGAAGTCAAATCTCGATCCTCCGGCTCTGTTTTGTGAGGGTTCAAATAATTTACATATTTATATCTCGTGATACTGGATAATTAAAGCCAAATTCAGTTTCACTATGAGCTAAGTGAAGATTAACGGTAACTGTGAAAATTGGAGGCTTTTTAGTATTTGTTTAGTTTTTCAGTTTCTTTTCACATTTGTAATTTTTTCCGGATTTAAATTTAGTTGATTTAGCACTTTTGCATTGAGTTTGCAAAGATCATTTATAGCACAAATAGAAAATCATCAGTAAACGACAAGATACGAACGGGTTTAGAAAATGCCACGAATGAAGCGTTAAGCACACTAGGATAAGCGGCATTAAGGCTAAAACGCCCTGGTTCAGTTTATTGAGAATATCAGGAAACAAAAAACCCCGAATCCCTAAAAACGTACGAAAGAAGAAGAGAAATAAATTATCCAAATCACAGAATTTAGAATACCATTACTTAAACCACCATTTGGGATATATTCAATCATAAAACTGCAATATCGAAAAAGCCTTTTTCTCCTGTTTAAAGGCTATTGTCGAAATTAGAATAATGCACTCTAAATATCCAGAGTTAATGCTCCAACCGTCATAAATTCCGCTTAATATCGTAACTTTTCTCTAACGAATTTACCTACGGAAATGCATTTTCCTTGTCGGGTAAACGTACCTGGACATTTCAAGCGTTAACTCCCGGTTAAAAGCTTTTTAAGTAACACACATTCTCTAATACCTGATAAAATGCGCTTAATAAGGATACTTAATGCTCTGTGCTTGGGTTGTGATAATTTAATCGATTTTCTTCAGTCTGTGCAATGATAGGGAAAATTAGAAAATATCTGCAGCAGATAGAAAGTACATTTTCAATAGGTGGCTTTTAAAATTACAACCAGTAATAATGGAAGGATCGGAGCTGATCCGGCTCAGTGTTCCGGGTTTTACAAAAGATCCTAAGGATATGAATCTTTACTTTAAAATAATATTTAAAAAAATATATGTTTAATTTAGTGTTGCGTAGTTTGGAATAAAGGTAATAATAATAGATATTGCTTTATACAGAATGTTCCTAAATAAATGTCGCAACAGAAAACATATAAATTTTCCATGAAATAAAGAAATACTTTTTACTTTTCAAAATTTATCTCCGTAATTTCGTTTCAGAGGGGTCAAAATTAAAGATTAAACAGTTTCTGTAAATTTAAGTCGCTAACTGATAAAAAACGTTTCATTTGTTGTTAAAATTCGTTAAAATTGTCAATTATTATTATCAGTTTTTTTAGGTTACCAAAGATTTTCAATACTTTAGCAAAATATTTGTTTTGATTAATAGAAAGCCATTTTTCTGGAAAATAGTTAATTTTCGAGAATTAGCTTTATACTAAATTTATCGCCGCTTCAGAATTTGCTGTGCATGTAATGTGTGTACAAAAACCTGTAGATCAAACGGTTTCTAGATCTAGAAAGACTGGAAGGACATTTTTTAAAATAGAAGTTTTTTGGTTTTAGAGAAATCTACTGTTTCAGTTTGCGACACTTATTTAGGACTACCCGGTATATTCCAGAATGATTCCTTACCTTTTTTACAATATTTATTTTGTTAATTATATTTTCCTTCTTAATTATGTTTCTTTTCTCATAGTTTATGAACTACTTAGTTTTCTTCATTTCTGTAAACATCTTTGGTGTAAATTACAATTTGTACATACTTTCCTGACTGTGTTTCAATTCCAAATCAAAATTAATTCCTGGGTTTCAGTCATTTAGAGTCATAGAGACAATAAATAACTGAAACCCAGGAATTAATTTTGATTTGTAAATTACAATACAGTATCCAATACAAACTTCTGTTATAAGCGATTAATTATGTCGAAATCTGAACTGTTTTTAGATCCTGTTTTTAAATAAAACTTTAGATAGTAAATTGAAACAGCTAAATCTAATAATCTAATATTTTTGAGAGATTTTTCATAAAACTAAAGTCTTATTAAGTGATGGCAATATCGTTTGAAGTTTGGCCACATCGACATAAATAATACCTCATACTAACGTTTGCTGGGTTGTGCACTATTTCCTCCATGCATGTTTTTCAGATTTTTATTATTTTTAGTATTTAACTTAGCTTGAAATCATTGTCACTTAATTTAGCAAACGTCATTTGAGAAGCTTTAAATCTTTTGAAGAAAAGCTTTCATTGAACAGCTTGATATGGAAAGTTCTACGTATAATGGGCTACTGAGCTGCAGGCTGTGCGAATTAAGTTAACTATCTTAGAATCCGTATTAACGCTACGAACGTACTATGTGTGCAATTAATTTATGAATAAACTTATTCTCTTAGAGTATTATTTTGCTGCCGAAACTTAAATAACCTGTTCTGAAGCAAAGTTGTTAAGTGCAGTTGAAAATACCTCTCGCTCATATAAAAAAAAAACATTCTAATAAATTCAAGTTTCAAACATGTTCTATTTAAATAAATGAACACTGAAAATGAATATGCTACGAATTCTAAAACGTATAAGAATTAAAAATCCTTGAATTTTGCTGCCCGTTTTCAATTAATTGAATTCAAATATTTTCAGCCAAAATGAGTAAAATCAAAAAATTTGCTTGCGTTAGCCATGGCTAATCGTCAATAGCCACATTTCTCCTGGCTTTAATCGAAAGCACAAATGATGTGTTACGTATCATTAAATTTTGATTTTCACGAAATTGTTCGTACGGATGCGTCCGACGTATTGCAGTGTCGAGAAATAAAAGCATTCGATTGCAATCCTTTTTGTTTCCATTGCAATTGATTAAACTAGGGACTTCCATTAGGGTGATATGCGGTAATCAATGCTCAGCCCCACCTATTCAGAGTTTTGCAATTAACCCACTAAATAAACGTCTAATAATAACAAAAATTGACAATAAATGCATTATGGAACTACCTTAAGTCGCAATTAATTTGAAAGTAAATCCTTTAGCATTTACGATCCCCATCCAAAAACTCTCCAAATTGTTTGATTTACGCCTCCCCCGTTCTCTCCAAACTCCGTCTGGACGCCATATGCGAGTTTCCCCACGAAAGTAGCCAAAACTACCCCTATAGCGATTCCGTTTAATTTATTTGTTAATTTTGTTGTATTTTTGTTTGATTGTAGCGTGATTAGTTGGTTATTGGGAAATATTTTAATTTATCGAGCAAATTTACCGTTCGATTAGTAATGGGAGAACATGAGCAGATGGTCGATTTACAATCAGTTTAGCAGAATAAAGAACAAAGGTGTAGTAAATACGCACCTGAAAGAGACTGTAGGAAAGTATTCCTAATTTGTCGCAAACGATACTATTTATTGAAATTGTTCCTTTTAGAAGGAGCATTTTTCGTCGTTTTATTGAGTCGAATTGAATCTTAAAACACATTGGCGAGTAAAACTTTAACATAGACTTAGTTGAAACTCACCCTATTTTGCCTTGCGGAAACGTAGCCTCAAATAACTCAAAACTTTTCGTATAAAACCTAAGGCAAACTTTCTACCAATTTGGGTACATATTGTGACTGCCTTTGGCCCATTAAAATGCTTTAACGAGCGACCCAAACTATTTTGTAAGTCGAGAAACTTGCCGGTGAAATTTTTAATTTCAAGTTTATGGGCCGAGGCATAAAGGCAACCAGCTCGCTCCGGCTCTGCCAGAGATTAAATTTAAAATTGTCGTAAATTACCATGGAAAAGAAACGTTTGATAATAGTTTTTGCTACATTTAAGAACTAATTTGCATGCTTTGACTTTTGGCTGGTATTTGAGTAAATGAATCTACTGACTGATCACAAGAATGGCTAGTGAAGTAAATGTAAATGTTAAGGACAGGCAATTGACCTTAAGAGAACCGTATACGCAAATAGCGAAAACGTGCCTTTGCACCTTTCTGGTCATTTCGAGTATAAAGCGTTACTCTAGCTAGAGCACCTTTCCAGAGAAAATCGTATAGATTTCCAACAAGCAGCAGACTGGGACATTAATCTCTAGCAGGCTAATAGATTTAAATCAGTGGAAGTGTCTAGAGGGTGGGCTGCAGCTCCCACGAAAGAAATAAATCCCAATAAAACCGCCCTAATGGCGAATCGGCTGCTGCTAATGTGGTTTTTGCGGTTTTACCTTTGGCTAATACTACTTTATTTCGTAGTTTCGGACGAGTGAAATAAATCGGAAACGTTTTATCGCCTACCAGTTTCATTGAAATGGCGCCTTACTGGTTAGCTTCAATTGTCATCGAACATCCGTGGAATGTTTTGTGCTCTCCCGGTATATTTTTTTCTTTAGTGAAAATCGATACATTTTTGAATATGTCAACTAACAAAGTTTTCGAAGTAGGATAATATAACGGGTACATTGGCAAGGTCAACAAGTTTGTTATTATTATTATACATTTTTCTCCTTCAAGGTACCAAGCAGCTAATTTACCGAGAAAAATTATGAAATTTATTAAAATTACACATACATTTCCATAATCAAACAAAGGCTGAAATTACAGAAATTTCTTACATTTAACACTAGAAACGTCTGCATGTAGATCCATATTAAAAACATCGAATCGCCCAGTCAACATTCTGAATTTGATCAATTTTGTTCCAGAATTCGACAAGAAAAGAATGGAGGCGCTTGGTGTCCAAAGGCGCAGATCAGCAGCGACATTAAGGAATATCTGGAAGTGGACTTGCAGAAGAACCACTTGATGACGTGGACGGAAACGCAAGGCCGGTTTGGGAATGGACAAGGTCAAGAGTTCACAGAAGCCTTTCTTGTTGAATACTGGAGGAGCTCTTTGGGGCAGTGGATTACTTACAAAGACTCTCGAGGAGAAAAGGTATCTATTATATAATTATACAATTAATTTACCCTTATGTTGGTGCACCCTGTTTACAACGGAAGAATATGAGAATCAGCAAATTTCATCTGGTTGAAATGAGACAAAACAAGGTCTAAGATATTCACCAAACACCTTTCAGGAACACTCATTGCACTCTGATGCAAATTAAAAGAACCCGCAGTTTTCACAACTAAAGTTTAGACAGAAAACATTTAGGTAAAATAAATGGTTGTGAAAAATTCCCTAGTTTTCTGCAAGCGAACATTGCGAAGCAAACTGTTTAAGAGAAGAGCAATGAGCGTTTAGCAACTTACCTTAAAAACTTTAAGCCGACAAAAGTGAGTGTGACATTTAATTAAAAATTTGAGATCTAAGTCAGCGTAACTTGATTTATGGGTTCCTTATTAGAACGTATCAATGGCGAGGGTGACAAATTAGTTTTAAAAGTTTTAATCAACTTTTCCGGCGAGCTCAACTTGCAAAACGCAACTAATAAAATTATAAGCGCGATGCCATCTAACGAGGTTAGCGTAGTACTCGGCAGTTCACTTGATTCTTAGCTGGCTTTTTTGAAATAAGAATCCGCATAATGACGAAAATAGTTTTACTTGGTTTTCTTAGTTTAAATGGCTGTTAGTCGGGCTGAGGATACGGTGGCGTCAAAGTTTGTTTGGAAGCCTCAGATAATATTGTGAGGAAATCCAGAAACTTCTACTGCATTAAAATAGAAATGGTTTTCAATTACACCTTTGCCTCACACCTTTCTCCAGAACCTACTTGGAAATTTCTTGGATTTCACAGGGTTTAACCGATTTGAGGTTTCCTGATTGTTCTCCAATTAATGACAATGCCGTTTCTTCTTCTTTCCTTTTAAATGCCTCTTTTGACCTATTAATCCTCTTCGGACGTGGCACCCTATCCAGCGTTTTAGATGTTTGCCTTGGGTTCGTTTTCCTGCAGGATTGTTTAGTTTTGCGGTTCCCACAAGTCTATTGTCTGTTTGTGCGTTTATTCCAACTTTTTCTTCTGTGCTTCATCCTTCTTCCTATGTCCTAATCTCGCTTTGTTGTCTAAGGCCTTTGCGTCTGATTTTGTCGTGTAGTGTTTTTCCGTGGATACTTCTTATTATTTTCATTTGAAACGTTCGCATCATTTGCAATATCTTTAAATTTCGGCAGAAAAAGAAAAATGCTTTAAATTTCTTTAGCTCTATGCGTCCAATTACACTCAATTCCAACTTTCTGGTATCTTCCCATTTCATGCTGCGAAACAAACAGACATGATAAATTTAAAATCGTCTTATTTGGACCCAGATGTGTTCCGTAATATAAAAAACCGCATTGCGGCTTTGATATAGAGCATGGAGGTTGTATTTAGGGTGCATTTTTGCATATAAAAGACTTTCCAGCACCTGTGACTGTGTCTTTGGCCCAATATCGGCGATTAGCTGATGTTTTACGTTTCAAATCGTACATAAGTTATTGGGCGGTTCACTGAAAAAAATGTTTTATTTCGTACTTTCACTGTGTTCTGAAGTTTTATACAAACGAATAACTAAAATTGTTGCGGATCAAATAGCATAGGAAATAGCCCCTAACTAACTAATTCTATGGCCTGTGATTCTTCCTTGCATACTTTGTAGTTCTCATGTTTTGTTCATTTTTCTCAAAACTTACGCGTTGGCAATCCTTAGTCTATATGCAGCACGAGCAGCAGTATTTATCTTATTTGGAATTGATTTTTCATAGTTTCGGTGTCAGATTGATCTAAACTTTTCAGTTAGATTATTTTGTGCAGTTGTAAATTGGAAAGCAGTTAATCATTAAAACGCAGTTTATTTTAAATAATAAATTTGAAAACATTTAATTAAGTTAATTAGTAAATTTTAAAAAGGTCAGCTTCTGAAAGCTGCTGCCATTAGAGAAATAGGCAATGATTTCCATTTGAAAATGTGATGTGGTTTGAACAGCAGCATTAATAACCAAATGGTTGGATCGATGTCCATTGTCACAATGATTAATTTGAGCGCAGGGATGCCAGCGTTATTTATACAACATAAATAGCTCTCCAAATTTCATCCCAACCAACAATCGGTTATATTTACTTTTCTGCAGCTTTGTCTCTGATTTGTTCCATCGAATAACACAAAATCAAATTAATTTTATTCACATTTGGTCTGCCCCACCACCGCCTTATTCAATACTGAAATCTGATTAAATTTGTATAAATTCATGTGTGTGTGGTTTATAATGTTTTGTAAAAATCGCCCGCCTCGATTGCTTTATAACGAAAGCTCTCAAATTAGTTGATTTAATCAGCCAATGTGTTGATTTAAAGGCGAATGAAAAAGCCAAAAGCATGTTTCACAAATTGGAAAACTGAAAGCGCAAACGAAAATTAAAAATAAACAATTTTCGCTTTCAAACAGTACGCAAATTTTCGGAGATTGAAATAATGCATATTGGATTAAATTTAGATCTACAAATTTTAAAGCATTTTAGCAGTTTTTCCTAATTTGGAATTGGAACAAAGACGTTTTTTTCTAGCGAGCCAGTACAGGTACAAGTACAAGTAAGTACAGAACGATTTGCCATAGCGGAAGAATCGCGATAAGAAAGAAATTGATGTTTAGTAACAAACAAGAAGTAAATGATATATATTTGGTAATAAATGGCGTACAACAAGAGGATATAAGAAAGTGATTATTTTATGAAAAATGGGAACCATTTTCGAAGTGATATAATTAATTGAAACGGCAAAGGCATGGCTAAACCTGCAGACACTGGGATAAAGAGTTTCTGAAGGAAAATATCAACGTTTAGGGGTGTTTGTAGATGTGCAGTCTTAATAAAGTGGCTAAAAGTCTGAAAGCCGAGATTTTCTATAAAAAAATATGTTTAGTCGGACGACATAATTGATATGCGATGTGATGTGTTTTGTAACTGCTGTTAATAATTCGATTAATTTAATATAAATACTTTTGAATTATTTGTTTATTTAGTCAAAATTAAATTAATTATAGGATAACCATATAGCCGATTGCTGACTTTCTGATTTCTAAACGAAGGAAATGTTATTATCCAAATTTTTTTAACTTTGAAGGAAGTTGGATCTTCTTAGTTAACTAATGAGAGGCTGGACTATTTTTTATATAATAGAACAAGAGGGTGGATCTTTTGTTCACAAGGCGAACTTTTGTAATGTTGGCATCGTCCAAACTACAACAAATTCAGTCTGAGAAGCATTGTAAATTTCGAATGAGCGTCCGAAGCAACAAATTTCTTTAAAATTCGTAACAGTTCGATATGAGTTAGTGCACTTATAAAATGCTCTGCCTAGAAATGGCGCATGTTAATATGAAGAGACCACAGTTTCCAGTTCAAGAAAAGACGGTCGGGAACAAGAGAAAAGACAAGAGACACGATAAGACTGACAAATGATCGGTGCGTATGATTAAACGCTTCGGGTCTATCCAGACATTTGCAGGAGTGGAAGTTTGCCTAGGACATGCAGGAATGTGTCAGATGAATATATGAGGGGTTTTGGGTGATGACGGCTTAAGACACGGTGTTAGGCAAGAAGGGCTGTTTGCGAAGGCAACTGATCCCTTTGTAAAAGTTAATTTGTAAACACCAGTTGTTCCTGCCGAGCTGAGTGGGGATTACCTTTAGTTACAAAAAAACTATGTAGGAATTTTTTATTTTATAATATGCCTACCTATTCTTGGGCTAAATCATTTCAATGGCCTATCATTTTCTATGGAAGACGTTTAATGGAATATTTTATTTTAATTCCTTCATATTTCCATGCATTAATGGTTTGGGCAAGTTTAAATACAGACCTTCCATCTGCTTCTTGTTACCCTCCATGTCCATTGGTCAGATGTTTCTCTTGCCGTACTCACTGCCACTTTAGTGTTGCCATTCCACTCGTTCCATGATTTATGTGGTTTTTATTTGTATCGTATTTTCTCGTTTCGGTTCCACTGGCTTTGACTTACTCCCAATATCCTTCTTTCCATTAGTTTTTGTGTGAGACATCCATGCATATACTCTTACTGAGTATATAATCAATTTTGTTCTCCAAACCTATTTACGTTGCAGTGCTTTTTCGAAAAAGGTGTTCAAACAGTGTAGACTTTTATGCTGGATAATTTTATCAACAGAGAAACTATATTGTGCGTGATTTTAGTTACTACCCATAAGATTAGTTAATTTGTCCACATTCGGCCAGTTGGTGTTGCAATGACTATATAAAAAACCATGAAAATTACAGTTTTGGATTTTTCAAATGCCAGCTAAGATTCCTATGGTAGAAATTTGATATAAATAGAATACAGATATGTGATTTTAGACGAGCAGGTGTTTTGCAGGAATTGTTTTCGGAGGCAAATTCCCACTATTATATGGAATATCGCTGTTCAAATTTAACCGTAAAATAAAAGTTGCGCCTCGATTATTTTCCAGCAAGAAAAGGTATTGCACGTAAAACTCATTAGTATAATGTTACATTGTAAAATGGCCCTGCTGGCAATACGAATACATGTTTCGTGTGTATGTACTGTATAAAGTTACTTCTATTCGAATTCAGATATTGCGCCCCGGGGGAAACCTGGAAACTGGATATTGCAGTCTAATGGCTTTGTTCATTTTATTAAAAAATTTTGCCTAATTCTGCTCAAGAGAATGCAATGTCGTAAACAAGGTCCAGTAATCAATTCTGAAAAATCCATTGCTATATTCTGTTCGTGGTTTTCAACTGAATAGTCTGCCTCTTTAACTCTCAATCCACCCCATACATCTTCTAAATGTTTAATAATTCCCGCGGCCAGCGCAAATGGATTTTTGAAGGATTTTTTTTATTATAAAAGTTTTTAATTTTAACTTCATAAATTGCACCGACGACTAACAGATTAAATTTTGGGTAACAACTTTTTCCGGCGCCCCCTCGCTGCCGTAATAATTCATTTACCGCTATTAAACATTTAGAGCAGACTTTAGCTTTTTTTTTAATTAACGAGTTTTCTAAAACTTTTGCGTTATCGAATGGAATATATTGTTTGTCGGCGGTGTGTGCTTGTTTGTCAAACATTTGGTCAGAATTCGAGAAAGTTTTGTTCGGGATATGCCGTTTCAGTTCGGTACAACATCAGCAAACATTTTCTCTGTTAACTGTTGCCGTGTTAATTTCAATCAGAGAACTGCAATTTTGTTAATTAGTTTTCGTTTCTGCAACATATGCTTAAGTCACATAACTAGTTTAATATTAGAAAATATGGCAAAAACAACATCAGCTAACTTAGCTCGATTTCGTGAATTAATTAAGCTAAAATCGGTCGGCTTAGAATGATGACAAGTTTGAATAATAATGACGCAGATTTGAAGAGGTTTTTTAATTACAGGTCCTGACAGGCAACACCAACACCTACTTAGTAGTGCGACAACGACTCGAATTGCCATTTGTGGCATCAAAAGTGAGATTCATTCCTTACAGTGAACATCCCCGAACTGTGTGCATGAGAGTGGAATTATACGGCTGCCCTTGGGAACGTAAGTACTCCTAAACTTTCACATTCATAATTGTTGTTAGCGCCCTTTGAAAATTGCTAATTTAATCAAACTGAAGGTGCACCCCTTTGGTTAATAAAATAACAAAAGGCGACATAACACGGAACACATTCAAAGGGCAGAAATAATGTCTTCAAGCGCACCGCTGTAGGTTCATAAATATTTATGGAAGCAACACGTGTCCAAAAATTCAACCCTTTATCTCCGCCCTTTTTTCGCGAAAGTTTGGAAATGTACGTAAGACTGCACACGACGGGTCCTGATTTAGGGGCGTCAAATCCATCCCCCAAACGTGTACCGCTAACATTATTTATGGCTTTTGTTTTCCCCATCCGGAAATTAACGAATGCCTAAGAAAATATGGAATAATGAATGATTGGGATAACTTGCACGTGCGGTTGAATTTACATGCTGGAATTTGAGCACAGTTTTTCTATGCCAAAAGCCTGCAATCCAATGACGCCAGATTTCAATCATCGTATTGGAAAAAGAAAATGCGATTCAGTAGGGGTTTTGCAACATAACTTTCCCAGAGGGTGCAAGCAAGTCTTCAAGCTAGCAGTCAAGAGTCCACGTTTTTTTTTAGTTCTCTTATTGCCCCGTTTGGAAGACATTTCATTTCATAAGTTAAATATTTTGGTTAACCCGCGCAAATTACCGCGCTCAATTCTCATTTACACAACCTGGAATTGCTAAACACCTAATTAAAATCTGTTTTTGTTATTCTGTCATCTTCATTCCATTTGATTTCATTTGTGACAAATGGTTTTGGCTTTTGGCTCGATTTTATCCTCAATAACTTGTAACTTGTAAAGAAATGTATTCAATAAACAACAGTCATAAAGAAATGGCGATAAACTTAAAAGGTCAAGCTTTCAACTCTACAATGAAATAGTGAAATCGTGGACATAATCCATAGGGAAAGTGCTTCCTGAGGCTGCTGAAAGTTCCGCGATATTATCCAATTCTAAGCCCTTTTGGCACCAGAGTGAAGTCAAGTGCGTTCACTGTTTAACAATTTAAGCGCTTTGTTGTGCCTTTGAATATACATACACGCCGAAGAAACCCTTTCTAAATAGCTAACGAGCAGCGGGATGGTTTCACTCCTAAATGTGCTGACATTTACGTGAATATGAGCGAAAGCTCCTCGTTGGGCTAAAATAAAACGGAAAGCCTACGAAATTGTTAAAATGCCCTACTAGGTTTGGCTGTTTTTTTATCGCTAGAGTCGAGGTATTTAGAAAAATGAGATAAATGGTTCAAATGGAAGGTGAATAAAGTGTTCCTTGAACTTTGAACTGCTACATTTAAGTACATGCTGAAAATCAAGGAAGTTGTAGAAGGAGTTGAGGGATGGGAGCAATTACTTCTTATGATGTTAAACTAAACTTCTCTTTAAAATTGTGAATTAAGTGTCTATTTTTGTGTATAAAGATTGGTAAATTATTTGACAATATTCAGTTAAATGCTCGAAAAATTAAACTTTCTAAACTCACCGAAACTGGAACAATTTGCAACTGTTCTCAGTCGAGTGAAGGCACATTCAATTTTTTTTCTCTTCGATATTCCGCCTGTAGACCGTCCGAACAAAGACATTGCCATTCATCTACAACTGCATTAATATTCATAAGCCACACCATAAAGTATTAATATCCCGGAACAACAATATGCACCCCTTGTATCGTTTCGGTGCGGAAGGGGTTGAAACGAGCACTAGTCAAGTCTTCCCTAGGGACTTCCTATTCGGGATGATGAGAACATATGCGAAGCGGTCTAAGAGAGAGATACTCCCGGGTACTAATCAGGCAGTCACGTGACTTATTCAGCTAATTGAATAACTGAATAATATGCTCGAATTGAATAACATGAAGATGTTTGATAATGATTGAGAAAACAATCGCTCGGTATTGTTCGAGGGGTCGATTGGACCGGATTTGCTTAGCAGGGATTAGTTGATGGAAATGGAGACTTTTTATGTCGGCCAGATGTTTTAGGGCCACCAAGTGTTTGCTTCGAATAATTTACTGGAGAATTGGTTTGTTTTATCAACCTTAATGGATATTTTTCCAATTTCGATCTATTCGCACAAGCGAAAGTGTATAAGTATTGTTGTTTAGAGGAAGTTTTGAAAGGTATTGCTTATGGGGTATTTTTTGAGAGCTATTGAAGGTAAATGCGGTAATAAAAATAACGGTATGCGTTTAGTTACTAAGTGCCTAAAATACCTCCAAAGAATCGAGCAGCAGCTTCTGTAGTTTCCAAAAATTTACTTTCTTCAGTATTAGCAAACATAAATTAGATATTTGATATGTTTTTGCTCGTTTATAGTACATACACAGAAAATAACGGCTTATGTTCAATTCGCTATTCACTAAATCTATCAAAATTATATATAACTTTACTTCCAGTGCAACTGAAGGACACATATAGATTAGGCTATAAAATGTCCCTCAAAAATCAAAGTTTCAAATTTTTCAAAGTTCATTCAAAGGAAAATCTTGAAAATGATGAGGTTCAAATTGTTTCCCAAAATCAACATTTAGAAATTCCCGTATGGAAGTATTGCGAACTATTAATCGAAATGAAAAATTTAAAGCTAATCACTTATTAACAAAAATTTGGATTGTGCTAATTAGCAAAAATGTTACCATATACATAAATAACAAACCAATAAAACTGCCAGGAAAAACAAATAATATCCCTTAAACTATCCCTGGAGCTTTGCCATAATAAAGTAGGACCGTTCTGCTTTTAACTGCCTGCATGTATGGTTTGAATTTTTATAATAGGCCCCTTTCTCCTTGTAATTCCTCGGAAATATGTCCCTTTTTATTATTTCCATTGCACACTCTAAGCCCACTTAAAAAGCACTGTTCAATCAAGGTTTTTATTCAAATTCAAGTGAATGTTCCCCAAAAGAACTCGCTCAGGATTTGTCTTAAAATAAAAGGATTGGGCAAAAATACATAATTTGTTTCTGTAGGCCTCAGCAGTAAACCTTCTGCCTGTCTGGAAATACAATACGTATGTCAAGTTTTCATTCTATTTTTGGGTTTGCTCGTTATTGGCAAACGGAATTCAGGAGAAAAATTTTTAGTTTCAGTTTTTGCTTTATCTGTTTTTTGGCGAGGGATGTTTAAAACACATAAAAAATCTAAACAAAACAATATGAGTAATGTAACTAATAATACGATACAACAGCTAAAAGATAGTTTAAATGAATGAACTAAATCAAACTCTCTCAGTCAAAAGTGCTCTTTTCACATGATTTAAATAGCTTTTAAATTCCATCATGACGTTCTCAAAGTTGCAAAAAGTTTCCATGAAAAACGCTCAAATTTATTAATTTCTAAATGTGTTTGTAATTAATTTTTCACCGTAACTTTTATTGAAGCCCTTGAAATGCAATGCGAAGTTCTCCGCCGCTCCTTGTAGACTTAATAAGTCCTCAGGAGGGCAAAAAGGCATAAAAAAACTTTTTTCCTTCTCTTAGTTAAAGTAACTTCGAACCCTTGACTGTGGCAAGCTCGAAAATAAACTTTTCACGGTTCTTAAATTATAAATATGCTGTTTTTTAAATTCCAGATTACAACTGTTTTTTCCCTTTCTTTCCGACGTTTTTCGTCTTGTTTCGGGCGTTTTAACGAATCAAAGCCCGTTGTAATTAGTGCGATGAGTTCCTTTTTTTTTGTTCGTTTGCATCGGAACTGTCACGATTTTGTTCGAGGGATTTGGGCTTAAAGTATGCTGAATTTTCAGCAACTTGATAAGAACTTCCTTAACTGTACAGGGCGTCGAAATAAGAAAATTTTGCAGAAGCATTTTACAATTGCTTTTAAGATGGAAGGTTAAAAGCATTGCAATTCGGTTTGAATTAAAAAATTCAAGTCATTACGATCGCCCTTTTTGGCGGTCTTGTCAACAGTCCAATTAAAACAGCTTTTGTCGTTGTTGAAATAACGGAAACTCGAGTTTGGCAACTTTGCAAAAATGTATCCATATTTTTGTATAACTCGTAGTCGGATAGAATATAACGGAAAAGTTGGAGCACTTTCCCTATGGTCCGGGTTAATATACGTACGCGAATCCTCCAAAAGCCCAGACTTGTTTCGACTAATAAAGCAATTAATATTAACCATTCCGTATGCAAATTCGCCTTGTTTTAATTAATTTCCTCACACTATCTCTACCATTCGCTACAAGTCGTCCAAACAGCCCCGTCTGTCCGTTAAAAGGGTTTTTAGTGAGCCCGGTTTTACGCAGTTCTCCAAACCGGGAATTTCTATTCTACAGACTAAAAAGGTATTTAGGTTCAACGGCAACAAGTTTTATTAGAATATGTAAAGTTTCTAATTTTTAAAAAATGAATAGCGCCGGTGTTAAGAGAGAAATTGTGCTTTCGAGATGGTGAATATTTTCATCGAGGTCTGAATGGCAAGCAAGTATTTACGAATTATCTTATTAAGAATATCAGGTATGTGTTATATCAAAATCAAAGCGAAATCTCAACATCTTCTACAATAACCATCCAAGGGCCGATCCAGCTTTAAACTCAGGGGGGGTTATCTAGAAAAAATACAGTCTTCTGTTATCTATAAAATTAGAAAAATG